TTGCTCCTACCATATCTCTTATTGTCTCATTCCTGATCTTGTGTCTCCTGGACCTGTTCGCTGCTTTCCTCAGGCATTTCATCTCACGAGTGATCAGTTTCTGCACTTCCATGTTTATTTTTTAATCGAGAGTGTGCACAGTAAAATATAACAAATTTAAAATTGTGAATGATTAACTGATGAGAGGAAAAAAGTGTGGATAAATATTAGAGACTAATCATAGCAAGACCTGTTTTATCTCATTCACACTCAATTTTTCATCTAAAGGTACTGGAGTCTCTTTATATCACGTCTCGCAAACCGTCTCTGTAAACAGCGTGATTGCTTGCTTGGTCTTGCAATAATCAAGTTCTGTACTGCTAAATATATATATATATATATATATATATATATATATATATATATATATATATATATATATAATGAATATATATATATATATATATATATATATATATATATATATATATATATATATATAATGAGAAGCTACGTATACTTTCTTAATATGTATATATAGAAAAACAACTAAAAATTTGCAAATTAAAAAATAATAATGTTCTTTTTACGAAAGTATTTATTTATATTTGATATTTCAGATCGACCTCGATCTTTCTTCAGAAATATATATATATATATATATATATATATATATATATATATATATAAATATATATTATAAAGTGGATTATTTTTAATAGATACAATTTATTCAAGTAAATGCTCTGTTTTTAAATAAATAGAAGATATAAATCGCATATTTTCTACGAAATTTTTCGAACATTCATACCAGTTAATGTAATTATTACTGTTTATTTAACAAAAAAAAAAAAGAAAAAAAAAAGCATTTACTTAAACAAAGTGTATCTATTAAAGATAACGTATTTAATACATTGGGTTGGTGCATAATTATCAGGCGTTTTTTAAACAATATTTATTATGAAAAAAGAAACATAACAATTCAACAATAACATTTTAAATGGTTATTCCGGATAGTATGATTATCGATAGGCATTTTTATAACCTGAAAATAAAATAATATTTTTATTTAAAAAAGTAAACAAAACAGCAATTTTTATTAACAAAAATACTTGCCTCCAAAACGCCTGATAATTTTGCACCAACCCAATATTAAATAATTTTCGGTCTTAACCCATTTCAATGTTAACGTTAAGGTACATTTCGTGAACAGATATGATTGTCTGGGAAAGATCGTCGAAGATTTGTTGTTTATAAACAATCATTTGGACTTTGCTGACCAGACGCTCCTCTGTGGCTGAATGATATAGCACGTCAGATCATTTGATCGTTCTGTATAGGACACATGTTCGATTGCTGTCTCGAACATTCAGGTCGGTAAATGGGAAACGCATATTTTCTACGAAAATATATATATATTGATATATATATATATATATATATATATAGATAAAAAAAATATATATATACGTAGTATATATATATATAAACAATATATATATAATATATATAAACATATATATATAAACAATATATATATATATATAAACAATATATATAAATATAAACAATATATATATATATAAACAATATATATATATATATATATATAAACAATATATATATATATATATATATATATATATATATATTGATATTGATACAAAAAATGGACGTAGTCTACAAATCGTCGAGCCGAGTTCTAATTCCAGGTTAGTCTGTTGCTCTCCCATTTGTTATTAGGAAAAGCATTACTCCTTTTCACTGCTATGGGTTAAATAGCGGGACAGACAGGCTTCTTTAGTCTTGTGGCTTCCGTTTTAGGATAAGGACATTAAACCACCCTGAAGTGGGATGGGATCCATCAGGTTATCTTGCCCTAGCCACACATCTTGCTGCTACGGTTGCAGTACATGTGGTGCCCCTACGGTTCTCGTGCTTTATGGGAATTGTGAAAGGAGCGGTAACAACATAGGTGGAAAAATATACAGTGGAAATTTAAGATAAAATTTCAAATCAAATGTCAGGCTACTGACTTTTTGATGCACTCTCTTATATGCACGAGAATTATTTATTCGTGGGCGGAAAATATTACTATTAAAGCATAGAGTCTGAAGTCTATTTATTGCTTTTTTTAACAAAAAAAAAAAAAAAAAAAAGGCAAAGAAGAGATGCTCTATTTCGCCGACACAATGTAAGCGTAAACATTTCTGAATGTTGAGTCATCTTTTCAAAGTATATCAACATCTGGTCTCCTAGCTAAATTATGGGGCGTGGCCCAAAATATTCTCACGTTTTCAGTTGGTCACTTTCGGATGATTGACAGTTCTAATCGAGAGAAAAATCTGAAAACTTTGCAATGGGCAAATGTAGCACATCTAAAACGCTTACGAGTTTTAACTCTTTCTATCTTGTCAGCTTGAAGTCACACACCTCATCAACTAAGCGCTCACAATTGAACGTTGATTGTCTCTGGGCTAAATCGAAACGGACATACCCGAGAGACGTTAACGAGTTGAACAACTTGAGTCTGAGACATATTTTAAGAACTAGCCGAATACCTCGGCACTTTCGGGAATTTGTCAATTTACGCTGTGAGTTACAGGGAGCATTTATTTATGGTTACGTATGCGCACCCGAACAAAAGAAAAAGAAGTGTTTCGTAAAATCATTCTAAACCTTGTTACTGTGACACCATCAAGTTCATAATAGCCGTCTACTATCGTTGTCCGAACAGACCAATCTGCTATGGTGGCTTGCAGACATATACTCATATTTATGTTTATTCAACACGCTCATAGCTTAACTTTGGTTTATTATACTAATACTATACTAAGCGGAACTTAGTTACAGTTTGTGGGTAAGAACGCATAGTATGTCATGATCAACCGTACGAACAACCAGAGAACGTCTAAAGCCTTGTTCACGATGACTTGAAACTTAATGTTAGCACAACCATTGACGGCCTCTGAACAAGTTCCGTCTAACCAATTTCACTCAAACCAGGCACTTTCCAAAGATGTCGTAAGCTGGTATCGCCTCCTGTTAGGATCACCTCCCGTTAGGATCACCTCCACATGAAATCCACCAGGGTCTGATGTTCGGAAAGTGAACGTTTGGATCACTTGGCCACGTAGCATCCACATACCTATACATTATAGTCAGTCACTTATGTGTCATGCGTGATATACGCTTAGGTGATCACGTAACGAGGCAGATTTTTTTCCCGCACTAAGTTGCCATTTCTTTCTGCGGTAGACCAGTTACCATCCAAGGCAACTGTCAACAAAGTCTGTCCTGCTATTTACCCATACCTGGGGAGAGAAGAAGAGGAGTCATATCTTTCCCAAAGGAACGTAAGTGAATGTGATGGATTTGACTGGAATTCGAACTTGGATTTCCGATTCCTCAATCCGAGCCGCTATCCATTACCACACCGTGCATCCTCATACATTATAACTGTCGTAGAATTCTTAGTGCAATGAGGAAGGTACTGCTTCAGAATTTAAATCTACGGGACAATTTAACCCACTTCCAGCCAAAAGCGAAATAGAGAGGTAGCACCTAAAGAGGTGTGGACCGATGTGTACCAGAGCCTCTGAGAGATGTATTTCACGAACTGGGATCAAAGCATGGTATTTGTTCTCTCTTCATTTGAGATGGGAGAAGATGTCCAGTCCCGCGGATTCCAACCCTGTGACAGCACCTTCATCATTGCACGAAGAGCGGGTCGGTGTAATATATGGTCTAATGTCGGGTGAACGTTGTTACCACACCATTCATCAGATGATTCTCGACATCTCGACTCCAGTCACTTTCTCTTAGACGTGATGTGGCTTCCCTCTGTCTTTTTTTTATAAATATTTTCATGACACCTGCTCTGACGAGCTATTTTCACTGGTGACATAACTGCATGAATTTAAGCGTGTTACTAGGTTGGCATCTCGGTCCCACCCTTTTACTGTCAAAACAGTTAAATGTAACCGTCTCTTCTACCCCAACAGCTTCTTCTCTAGCACTCACCGACAGTGGAACTCCTTTTCTCTTACTCGCTTCCTTGATAACTATAATCTTCAAATATTCAAATGTAATGTCAATCGACATCTTCTGATGCCTTGATCTTGATCCCCGACCTTCTCTTTATCCTTTTCTAAAACACCCCTCTTTACTCTTACTCTCACTCTCTGTAATCCCTACCTCTTTACTTTTACTTTCAGTCTCTGTAACCCCTTGCGTGTTAGCGGCACTCCCGCTTTACATGGGGTAAAATTCTTAAAAAATCAATTCTGGGCAAGTTGTGCCTAAGGACATGGTACACTATTCTGTTAGAACAGCCAATCATTGCTAAGATATAT